TGTGGTCATGGAGTTGTCAGTCTCCTTCCCTGGTCTCTTGTGTCAGGGAAACTTTACCTACATCTGGACTTATACAACAGAAGCATATTGAGAATTAAATTTCTTAAAAGACGGAGGTGGACTTCCTAACACTCAAACTGGAGGAACGCAGCCCTCTGGAGTCCTCGGGTCCTTGTGACCTCCCTGCAGACAGAGCAGGTAATACAGAGACCTCGAGACTGAAAACAACTAAGACACAGACAGAATACCAGAGATGATAGATAGATAGATAGATAGATAGATAGATGATAGATAGATAGATGCATGCTCCTAGAAAACACTTTCTCTAGACAAAAACCTGGGCATCAGATGTCTAACCAGAGAAAATCTTTTGGACTACCCCCGCCCCCGCCCTCCCACACGGTAGAATCCCTGCGCTGCACCCCCGTCCAGGGGTTTCCGCAGGAAGAGCACACTGCTGGCCTCCGTTCCCTCCCAGCACAAGCCGGCAGGGCCCCACTTCCCACCTGGGACAGCGCCAGTGATTCAGGGGAAAGCTGACTCCCTCCCATTAGAGTCTCAAAAGCCTTAGGTAGGGCCAGGGAGACTGGTCAGCACTTCAGTCCTCCCGTCCGGGACGCTGGCTGCCCAGTGGGGACCTGCACTGCAACCTCGCCTTCAGCAAAAGACCGAATGAGGGGGTCCAGGGCAGAGCGGGTCTGCCCGCCTGTGTCCCAGGTGGTAACTGTGGGAATGAGTGAGGAGCTAAGCCTTGAACCTCCCTGAGGCACTCAGGGCTCTGAGTAAAGGGTGGGAGGCAGGGGAAGTGGCCATGAAGGTGCCCCCACCCCCTTGCTGTCAGTGAAGCGCCAGGGACCCAGAGGGGAGCTGGGCACCAGCCCACTGAGCTCAGCAACTCCCCTCAGCCCTGTGCTTCCCTCCCTGGCTCCGCGGGGCCCAGCAGTGGCCTCCTCTCACTCCCTAACTTGAAGGGAACCAGCTGGTGACAATCACTGCCCCCCTGTCCCCAGGAAGGAGTCAGAAGCACACACCATGGGAACCAGAGCTCCACCCTTGATGGAGCCCGTGGGAGCCAAACATACACCCCTGACCTCCGGCTGCAGCCCAGCAGGAAGGGGCCTGGTTAAGACAGGGAAAATGGGACACAGGGGCTCCTAATGTGGTCCCCAAATGTCCAGGGTCCAGTAAAAAATAACACTTGTATATTTGAACCAGGGAAAATGAAAACTGAAGACACCAAGACATTTACTGAAACCAACGCGGAGTAGACTGAGATCATTAAAATCTCAGAAGGATGTTTAAGGCACAATCATAAAATCCATGTAACGAGCAACCACAGACATTTCTTGGAAGAAAGGTAAAAGGAGAGAACCTCAAACACAAATAGATGTGATAAAAAGGCACGAAATGGAAATGAAGAGCTAAAAAATACCACACAGAAAATTGTATAAACCCATTGTGAGATCAAGAATACATAAGGTTTATGAATCTTTTTGTTTGTGTGTTCGTTATATGTTTATAGATCGATTGGTTGATTGTTGAAATGAAAAAATGAAAATGCATTCTTACTGCAGAGCCTCCATCCCCATGAAGAGTCTGTGGAGGAAGCCACCAGGGGGCGCTGTGACTCTTCTCAGACCTACAAGGCCTGACTCTCACCAAGAGGATTCTACTTCAATGGGCTCAGTGTCCCTCTTCATGGCCTGAGTTAGGGGTAAGAGCAGGTGCTTCCTCTCAAGGGACAGGCTCAGAGCTCCCAACCAAACCAGCCTCCTCCTGAGAGGAGCAATATAAACTGGGCCCAGGACCCAGAATTCGATGGTCCTGTGGGCTCACATTGGCATATTTCTCTGGCAAACACACCCTCCACCCAGGGAGCTGAGGGGGAGATAAAGGGCCAACCCCGAGACTTGCACGAGCCTGAGACCAGGGGATCTTGGGAAGTCTCTGCCATGACTGGGACAGCTCTCCTCCTCCTCCTGCCCCCACTCCTCACTCTCGGCCCAAGTCCATGGATACTCCAGACACCAATCTTTGGAGGGGTCCCTTTCCCTTTATTCTTTCTTCCTGACATGTGTCTGTTTTTAGTTCAGGATCCAGCTCCCAGGCTGTGATGACTCAGGAGCCCTCACTGACTGTGTGCCCAGGAGGGACACTCACTCTCCCCTGTGGCTCCAGAATGGGAGCCGTCACCAGCAATAACTATCCAGACTGATTCCAGCAGAAGGCAGGCCAAGAACCCAGGACACTGATTTATAGCACAGACAATACACTCTCCGGGACCCCTGCCCGGTTCCTAGGCTCCATCCACGGGGACAAAGCTGCCCTGACCCTTCGGGGGCCCAGCCCGAGGACGAGGCCGTGCGCTACTACTGGCTGGGGGCAGCGGGGCACGGCCCAGGGAACGACCCGGACGGGGACCAGACAGAACCCGGGCTGCACTGAGTGGGCCAACTCACACGCCCCCTGTGATGTTGGCGTCACGTAACCGGGCTCATAGGGAGAGTAAGGGAGGCGTCCGAATGGATTCCGTTGCTGTTTGAACCCTAAAGTGGAAGGGATCTATGAGCAGCTGGTCCACATAAAGCACAATTCACTCACTTTATTTTACACAAGAAAGAGAAATGTCAATGAGGCACAAAGCTGATTTTCTGGAAAGATCAGTAAACCCCTGGCCAGGCTGACCCAGATCAATAGAGAGAAGGCAGAATAATCAACAGCAGAAATTGCAGAGGGGACATCAGTACCGATTCCTCCCATATTTACAGGGAATTAAGGAAGCACTACCCACAGTCCCATGGCCATGAATGGGAGAACTGAGATGTAATGTCTTAAATCCTCAAAGGTGCAAACTAGAAGAACAAACGCTAAACTGGCTGGAACTTTGATTGGGATCTCGCTGAATACACAGAGGAAGCTGGTCGTCATGGATACCTTAGCAACGCTGTGTCTTTCAGCCCATGAACACTAGTTGGTCTCCCCTCGCTTAGCTCTTGGATTTCTTTGATCAGTATTTGTAGATTTGAGCATAGGATTCCTCCACATGTTTTCCTTAGATTTATGTCTAAGGCCTTCATTTTGGTGGTATTAGCAAAGGTAGTTCTTTACTTCCATTTTCTATTATCAACTATGAATTCTCTATTGTTATCCTATGGGTTTTGTAGTGACCAACAACACAACAGCAAGCTTTTATGTACATACTTTGTGCGCTGTAATCGCATGAATCTCATATAAATTCTAGGAATTCTTGCTCCAGACTTGAAGGAGTTTTTGGAAGCGTGTCCCCTTCCAATGCTGATAGGTACTTCTTCTTTCTTTCCTGTGCTTACGGCACTAACCACACTTCCGATGTTGAGCAGGAGGGATGAGAGGGGACATGTGTTCAACTGATTCTCCATCTCAGGGGAAAACATGCAGTGTCCCATCGTTCTGCAAGATGCCACCTGCAGGATTTGTAATGATATCCTTTATTTTATTACGGATGTTTCCTTATTTATGTGAGCTGTGAAATTTCTATCACACATGGGTGTTGAATTTTCTTAATTTATTAATTTATAACCATCATATGATTACAAAGTGATCTCTTAATGCCATGAATTACATTGATTTGTTTTTGAATAGTGAATATTGCACTGCTCAATAAATGCCAGTTTGTTCGGATGTGTCTTCAGTTTCATGTATTTCTGCATGTCACTTGGGAATGTTTTGCTTAGAATTTTAATGTGTATGTTCCTGAAGGGCATTGGTCAGTAGCTTCCTTCACACAATGTCTTTGTCTGCTACTGTTTTTAAACACTCTGGAATATCGCCTCTTCCACGGCAGAATTCCTATCCCTTCTTGAATAGCTGGTACAATTCACCGATAAAACCATCTTAGCATGCAGTGTCCATTTCTGGAAGTTGTGAACTGCAAACTCAGTTTACTTAATAACGATAAAACTAATCACATTCTCTTTTTAAGAGAGTTTTGAGAATTGTAATATTTCCCCTGGGTAAGGAAGTTGTTAATATTAGGGGGAGGCAGGGTGAAGGATATAGACGCTTTCTTGGCAACATTTCTGTACCTCTAAATTACTCTTAAAAAACTTGAAATAAAACTATGTCATTTCCTTCGCCGGAACTCGTTAATTCACACCATGCTGCACGGGATGCGCCCCGTAGGGACGGTGGGGGCCCCAGGGCTGGTCTTGTCCGTGGGCAGTGGGTGGTGAGGCCGGTTGGCAGGGTGTTCACAGACATCGGCCTCCACGTGGCTAAGAATAATCTCATTCAGGTGGCATGGACCTCAACGGAAAGTGTAAAAAAAATGAATTTCCACTCAGAATCCCAGCCGGAAGTGAAGCGGCGATAAGGACCAGCAGGCAGCGGTCCTCAATACACAGACACTTTATACCATAGATAAGGACTGGGAGCAAAGCAGAGCTGACACCCCTGCCTGACAGGCCGACGTCCCTCTGAGCACCCCAAGCACGGATCCCCCAGCCACTGCTCCTGGTGGGGGGCGGGCCCCAGTCCCGGCAACACCTCAGACACAACTCTGTGACATCCCAGGTGACTCGTTGCTGAGGGAGGAGCGACTGCTAAGATCCTGTGAGGAAGACAAGGAAGGGTGATTCTGAGGAAGGAAGAAACGTTCCCAGGGATGGGGTTGGATGTGGGATGACGTAGAACAGGTCGCGGGGGCCAGGGGTTGGAGAACACAGCGTTTCATCTTTGAACCCTCGGACTCTCCAGAGAGAAATCTAGGACTAAGGTCACCAGGGACGTGGGGGAACGGATTTGTGACACACGTCCATCCTCCTCACTCGACATCTCAGTTACTGTGCAGCCTGTCCAGTGTGAGATGCCAGCATCTGCCTCTTTCAAGGTCTCCCCCAGGGGACATCAGGGGGACACTGTGGTGGCAAGAGAGGAAGCTGATTTGCATGAAGCAGCTCCTCCTCCTCATGGGCCTGGGAGGCATGAAAAGGCCCCAAGGTCACCACCCCCAGCCCAGGAGACAGAGGAGGCCGCGTCCTGGGAGCGTCCCCACCATGGCCTGGACGGTGCTTCTGCTCGGGCTCCTCGCTCACAGCTCAGGTCAGACGAGGGGACTCTGCATCCTTGGGGGACACAGCAAAGCAATGTCTCAGGGTGACCTTGTCTCTTATAACAACACCCGTGTCTTTCCTGTTGATTTCAGGTGTGGATTCCCAGACTGCGGTGACCCAGGAGCCATCACTCTCAGTGTCTTCAGGAGGGACAGTCACACTCACTTGTGGCCTTAGCTCTGGCTCAGTCACTAGTGGTAACTACCCCAGCTGGTACCAGCAGACCCCAGGCAAGGCTCCCCGCCAGCTCATCTACAACACAAACAGCAGGCCCTCTGGGGTCCCTGAGCGCTTCTCCGGGTCCATCTCTGGGAACAAGGCCGCCCTCACCATCTCGGGGGCTCAGCCTGAGGACGAGGCCGACTATTACTGTGCTCTGAATACGGGTAGTAATACTTACACAGTGATGGGAACCGACGGGGAAGTGCAACCAAAACCTCTTCATGTGCTCAGAAGGGCTCAGCTCTAGTGACCCAAGGAAACAGACAGGGTGGGAATGGTCAACACACCAAGGGGAGGGGCTCCATGGCCTCATCGCCATATCCGGTGGCTCCATGTCACAGGCCTCCTCCAGTCGCCCCCAGGGTGTGCCCATCTCTCCCATGTGACGCTGGCACAAGGGCTTCTCCTCATCCCCTCTCCCTAGAATAGCGATGGGTGAAGACTGAGCTGCAAACACATTACCCATCAGCGAGGCTCAGCCCCCACCGCCCCCTGTGAGACTGTTTGTGCTCCAGGGGCTCTAACAAGATGCACGTTCATGTCTGGATTTCAGCCTGGGACCCCAGGAATGTTTGATTTGGCACGTAATGGCAGTGTTACTAGGAGGGTGCAGATAATGCAGTTCCCCTGAGCCTGAGGAGGCCTCCTGAGTCAGGACTCTGTGTGTGTGTGTGTGTGTGCGCGCGCGCGTGCACGCGCACACTCTTGTGTAAAACCTGAGTTTCAATAAGATCTTTCGTAAAGTATATTAGGAACACTAACGTGTGAAATACACCTCTACTCCTATTATTATAAAAGTATTCCTGAACACCTCTGCTTAAAATTAATCACATTAACATTGCAGGACACCATCACTCCGACTTCAACATTCATAAATCCAGGAGCATTAGAATCAGGTTTAAAACCTCAGGCTATCGCTGAAAACTCTAATGATTTTTACCTCCTTTTTAATTGAAAACTGCAGCCTGTCCGGCACCTGGAACCCAGGAGCCACACGAGCACTCAGCTCCGACACACACACTGGCCGCATGTTTCACCTTCGTCCCCCCACGTAGTCATTCTCGGGGCCCGATTCACAGGCACAGGTAGACGGACAAGCACACAACAAAAATTACTTTGCTTCAAAAAATGTGCCCTACAGTTCTCCCTCGGCATAAGGTAGGAGACACCTAGGCAGGGAGAGCCTCCATGTCCACTCTTAGGCCTCAGCTAGCAGAGCTCTGCGGCTTCTCCACCACGGCCTGGATTCACCCAGACAGGAGCCATCCTGCTCTTTCCTCCTCTCTCTCCTCCAATATATCATTTCTAGGACTTTCCCTCCTTAACCAGTGCTTTCCACGCCCTGGCTCTGACCTTGATTGGGACCCGACTCCACAGAACACCCAGGAAGAAGGTAAGAAAGACCCCCGCTGCGTAGCACCCCGTGGTCCTGAGAGCAGCTCCGGGGACCCCTGGGGCTCGGGCAGAGGCAGTGAGGAAGCCCTCACGGCTGCTCTGCCCTGGACCCATTTGCGTGCATAGGGCTTGACCGACACTTTAGCCTCCCTCTCTGCTTGGGAAATTCACTTTCCCCGTTTTCCCCCAGCACCTGTCTATGAGAATTGTGTGTCTCTCTGTGCCCTACCTGGTCTTGGTGCACAGCTAACATCTTCCTGCGTTACAAAACATTTCCTCGGTGACTTCCTGAAATATGAGAGTTTCTACATTGACACATGGTAGCAGAGATTCATGTGGACTTTAATCTCCAGGTTGTTCAGCATCACAGGTGCACTCGTAGTACGAACGGCATCTTCAGCTCCTCTGTCCCCACCCATCTCCTAACTCAGTCAGCTAGTTCTTGGTAGGCTGGGGCTCAGAGTAGGATATTCCATTGATGAAATGTTCTCTCTGATATCAATGGAAATACTAGCATCTCCATAGTTAGGGGCAGAGAAGCCTCTTATTATTAGAGAAAAGGTGAATAAAAGTATGGCCAGGAGTAGCAATCAGAGAGGACTGACACACGAAGTGCTGTGGGCATGGCTCCTAGAGCACAGTGTTCCAGGCCACAAGGCAGACGGTAGCCACCAAAGAGACTGTCAATCTATGCAGCCAAACTATAACCGCTGGGCGAGCAGAGGACTGAGTGTAGCCAGACTAATAAAGTGTCATTTTCTGTTGCTCAGTTTATGGACTTCACCCATTTTTCAAACCCAGAAACTTCTGGAATTTATGGTGGAACCTGTAAGGTAGTCATCACTGGACTAAAGTAAACGGTAACGATTCTTTCGTTGCTGCCCTGACGTGGCCTATGGTCGTATTATTGAATGTACCAGGTGGCGGGGAGGGCGGGCGGGGAAGGAAATATCCAAATATGTTGAGTGTTGTTGACCACATGATCCAATTAATACTCTGGAACGTGAGATCGTATCATGGCTGCAATGACTGCAGGGATGCTGGGTTCTGGTCTGGCAGACGCACAGCCTATAGCACATTCTTGAGCCCATCGGCTCACCCAGTGGATATATTCCCACAATGGATGGTTGAATCTCTACAGTTCTTTATTGGCCTGGAGAAAAGGCCAGGAAGTCACAGTGCTGGTCATCGTGAGGGCCAAGGAAAGCCTACGGAACTTTGCCTCGCTCCATTTTCTTCCAGATAGAAATTTTTAAAATAATACTATTATGGGGAAACAGCAGAGGTAGTGCTACACTCAATACTGCAGTGTGTCTGTCCCTGACATGTGCTCATTTCATCCACCAGTCTGGCTACTAAGCAACAGCAACCAACAACGAGTCCTTGGCTGCGCTTGGCGTGGCGAGCTCGCTGGCGCACACGGGCACTGTTTCAGGTCCACGCTGCCCAGCCTCAAACCTGGCAAGTGCAGGCTCTCCATGCCGTTCCGTTGTCAGCAAGGGGTACCAGGCGCTATTCTCACTCACAGGGAATGGACAGCAGGACACTCGAAAGTTCCCCCCACACTACTTGTACTCTGCCTTTTGGCCAACGTTTCCCCATCAAGACTGGACTCTCTGCCTTTGTGGCAGAACCTCACAGCGATACAGTACATTGCTGGCATCGACTCATTTGAACAAGATGAGCAAGAGCTAGGAGTACATCAACGTCCTTGGTAAGACATAGGTCTCCCGGGCCCAGTGGACACGCCCTGCGAGTATTCAGCCCCCTCGCACCACTGAGCCCACTAGTCCACTGAGGATTCCCCAGTCTATGGCATTGTTCGATGCCTTCAAAAATAAAAAAGTTAAATTTTACCACAATAAAAATATCATCCATGTTGTAGCACAGGGCAGTATCTGCTCTTGTTTCCTGAATCCTCGCCCGAGGATACACTCATCCACCTTAGAGAGAAGGGACGGGTGGGAGAGAGTGAGGAAGAGAAACATCAACGCGAGAGAGAAACACTGATCAGCCGCCTCTCGCACACGCCCCGACCAGGCACCGAACCCGGAACCCATGCTTGAGTCCTGACCGGGGCGGGGCAGGGTCTCCTTTTTCAAGACTGAATTCTATTCCATTGCGTATGTATACTATACTTTCTTTCCATTAATTTCGTAATGGACAGTCAGGTTGTTTCCCTATCACGGTGATTGTGAATAATGCTGCAATGAATATGGGAGCATAGATATCCCTTGAAGGTACTTACTTCATTTTCTCTGTATATATACCCAGGTATACCAAAAGCAGAGCTATCCCGTCTTTCTAACAAGCCTTCCACAAGGTCTACACTACAGTTTAGATTATATTTCACTTACTAGGATTTTGTCACATAGGAGACAAACCCTGGGAAATTTTAGAAGCCCATCCCATCCCTGTGGTCCAAGGGGGGCGTTAGTCTATGACATGACAGGACACGCCCTCCAGAGTGAGAAAAATTATTGCATCTCACGATGCCCACCCTTAATAAAGACATATGCACTTTGTTGGCCTCTTCAGTTTCCAGAAGCCCACACGCCACTGTTGGATATGCTGCGCCACCAGATTACCAGGCGACGCGGGGGCTACTAGGTCTAAGGGGGCCCAGAGCAGACAAGTGTCTGCAGCTGTGGTGCACGCAGCCGTGCCGTTTGAGTCCTGCCACCCCGCTGACAGAGGGGCGCGCACAAACCCCCACTCAAGTATTTGGCAAGACCTGGGAGAAAAGCCACAATGCAGTCTTCTCGTTTTCCAGAGCAGTAGTGAAGTAAACGTCGTTAAGAAAGAAAAAGAAAAAAGAAATACATTCTGAAATGCTACTAGGCTCCGGCAGAGGTCGTGCGCCTGAACCATGGGACAGTCAGCTACCTCTGTGACAAGCCATCCACATTGTTGGGTGCTTTCCTGAGGAACCTGAGCTAAGGCAGCACAAGAACCCAAGACCTAGCCTCTCTGCTCAACGTACACGCCTACTATGTGTGCATTGGAATAAAAGAGAGGCAGTCATTCATTCATGCTCCCCTCCCCCAAATTCCTCCATCCAAGTCCTCCCTGAGGAATCACAGGCATTTAGTCTGACCCACTGAGAGAGCCTGAAACTCCAGACCAGAGCAAAGAGGGGCTGCGCTAGGGAAAGCCCTGCAGGAGTGCATCTGTGTATCGGTGGTATTTTCACTAGGGACACTAGAGGGGGCTGTGGGCCAGTGCCTGGGAAGGCAAGCTCAGCTGGGAACTGGCCCTACATGCCCTGGGTCCCTCTACCACGTGGCCGCGTATGCCGGGCAGCTGAGAGGCTGTGACCAGATCGCACAGCTAAACAGGGCGCATTTGCACGGCAGCCCCACCCCCACACGGGGAGGCGATATAAGGAGAGCTGTGCGGGCTGACCCTGTGCCGCGGGGTCTTGAGGAGCACAGCGGGGAGGCATCTACACCATGGCCTGGGCTCCTGTCCTGCTCACACTTCTGGCTCACTGTGCAGGTCAGGGTGACTCTCTGGGCTGGGGAGGCCACACGGCCCCTTCGTGACGCCTGTCCCCATTCCTGACCTTTGGTCTCTCACCTGTTTCAGGGGCCACGTCCCAGGCTGTGGTGACTCAGGAAGCTTCACTGTCCACGACTCCTGGAGGGACGGTCACACTCACCTGTGGCTCCAGTGCTGGGGCCGTCACCACCAGTAACTATGCCAGCTGGGTCCAGCAGAAGCCCTCCCAGACGCCCAAGGCTCTAGTAGGTGGTACCAGCAGTCGCGTACCCGGGGTTCCGGCCAGGTTCTCCGGCAGCCTGCTTGGAAACAAGGCCGCCCTCACCATCACGGGGGCCCAGCCCGAGGACGAGGCCGAGTACTACTGTGCTCTGTGGCACAGCAACTATTTCCACAGTGACAGATGCAGGCGGGGAAGTGAGACATCAACCCCTGGGTTCGGCCACACCTCTGCCCCTTTCTGTGTATGCAAAGTGAATACAAGGCCTAGGAAATGTGTGTTCTATGTGAGAGGTATGTGAATCTTTGGGGACCATAGGACAGGCTATTGTTAAAGACATCCCCCAAAGACCCCACCTCCTGGTGTTCATGCTCTTGTGTTAGCCCATCCCTTGAGTGTGGACTGCACTGCATGAAGTGGTGGTGAGTTTGGGGATTTCAAGATGGAGGAAAAAGGCAAAAAGTAGTTATGAGATGACAGTAACACAAAGGGAGCTTTATTGGGTGGCACTTAGAAAGATAAGATGAGAAGTAAAGTGCCTCACAGCTATAAATAATCCTCTGGATACAGTGGCACAGGGCCAGCACACAGAGAAGAGGGCGAAGATCTCCCAGGTAGGAAGGGAATTGGTGAAGGGCTCACGTGTCTTCTACATGCCTCTCAGCTGCACAGCCAGGCACCTCTGGATCAGACAGCTACAAAGGGCAGCAGCAGATCGTGGCCCACCAAAGCCCAACCAAGCATTTTCTCATCTACAGTTAGTCCACACTGAGTGCAGTTTCATGGGGTATGCAAAGCAGACAGGCTCTAAATGGATACTCATATGTTCATTTGGTCTATATTTTAAAAATTGGATGGGTAAAAGTGATGTTAGTTGCAGGCAGGCTTAAGCTAATGGTCATAGCATGCTGTGAAGCAGTGAACAACATAGTGGCCAAGATATAGAGGCATCTGTAGCCTGTTATCTAACAACTGAGTTCTAACAAATGGGACACAGGACTGAGATGGAATGTCACCTCTGATACTAGGTTATAGAATGAGAATGGCCTGTCTTGGTTGTTTTCTCTTCATTTCTCTTGGATTGCTTGTCCTGGGAGGGGCAAGATACCCTGCCTAAGGTGACCTAGGGGAGAAGCCCACCTTGTGAGGAACCAAGGCCTGCAATTGCCACGTGAGAAAGCAAATCCAACTGCTCCTGTTGAGCCTTTGCTGTGTGTGGCCCCTTACTGACAAAAGTAAACACTAAGCACTTTAGCAAGCTCTTACCCCTTTTTGGTTCTGCTCCCCATGTCCAACCTAGAGCATCCTCATTCCACAGGTATCATTTGTTATTTTAGGTACAGGTTGGTATGAATGTGCTTTTTAATTCTTCCTTTCTTTCCTCCTTTCCTTCTTCCCCTGTTCTCTCTCCCCCTTTGTACCGTCATTCCTTTTTACTTTTTACCCTAGTTTCTGTTGATAAGAAATCTGTTAATTCCATATTCTTAATTCCCATATCTTTTATACGTCTTCATTTATTGATCAAGTTCAATGAGTATTTATTGAATGCCCACTATGAGTCAGGCCGTGATCTAGGTGCTGAGGACACAGACAAATGACCTCATGGAGAATACGTGCTAAGAGGGAGACACAGACCAGAACGATAAATTCTGTAGAAGGTGGTACGTGCTGTGAATAAATAGAGGATGGAAATAAGGACTGACATAGGATACAATTTTAAATAATCTAGTTGATACGATGCTCATGCAAAAAGGGGGGGGGGGGGGATCAGCGTCTCCTTCCGTGCAGCAAATGCTGTCAATGCTTTGTTACCACTATTATTCTTACTTATATCTCTGAGAACATTGCACTTATTTTAAATGTCAGTATTCTATTTCATTAGATTTGTGTTGTTAAAATGTTGAATCAATACCTCTTTTTATAGTGTGTGTGTATTACTATAGGTGGCTGATTACTTTTGTGACCATTCCATGGGGATTTCACCTATCCAGATTAAAAAGGTACAAAGAGAAGACACTAAAGCCCAAGACTTAGCCTGTGTTACTGCCAGGGACAGAGCCCAGGTTTTCAGGACAGTAAAGTCTTCCTTCTTCTGTTGCTTTACCCCATCTGACTATAGGCCCCAACCCCATCTCCCTTTATGTCCTTCTGATATTAGTATTTACAGCTTGCTTATTTTTTTAAAGATTTTATTTATTTATTTTTAGAGAGAGGGGAGGGGAAGGAGAAAGGAGAGAAAAAACAGTGTGTGGTTGCCTCTCAGGCACCCCCAAAACTGGGGACCTGGCCCACAATCCAGGAATGTGCCCTAACTGGGAATCAAACCAGCAACCCTTTGGTTCACAGGCCAGTGCTCAATCCACTGAACCACACCAGCTAGGGCTACAGATTGCTTATCTTTATTGTCTTGTAAATTTAGGGCCTAGAGGAGGATGAGGAATGAAGGAAGAAATACTCAAATGTTGCCTGCTGTGCTGTTGATCTCTGATGCCCTGTTGTTAGGCTGCAAATTCAGTGTGGCCTGAGCTGGAGATAGACTGGCATGCAAAGGACAAGCAGCTGTGGAAAGGCTGCTGATGCCCCTGGAGATGAGAGATCAAGGGTGTGGAGCCATGGAGGAAAGACGTGGGCACCACTGACTTGTTCATAATCAGGAACGAATTGCTTTTCTTGACTGTTAGTCTGTACTCTCCCAAACATTCCTTTGAAGTTAAATACCATTGAAAAGGATAAGTATAACAAAAGTAATAAATGGCCAATGTAAAAATTATTTCATAATCTCACCATTTAGAAGTAACCTTTGCGCATATTTTGACAACATATACTATTGTCGGTAGAAATCAGGCTCTTCCACAGGATCACAAGAAAAGCATTTCACAGACCTATGCATGGGAGATTGTGATGTGGCAAGATTCAGGTAGAAATCTGCTTGTGTCCCATTTTTCTCCATCACACCACAGAAAAATCAGGGCGAAAGCAAAGGCCAGTTAAAGTTTCTTCTTGTTAAAAGTTCTTTGGAGCCCATGCAGCCTGCTGTGGGCCCCGGCAGCTGCTAGACCCACATGGTTACATGTTCCCAGGCGAGATAGAGTGCACGAACACACACACAAACGGGGTGAGTGTAGGTCACCGAGCGAGATAGAACTTTTTTGTTCTTTTGGGATTATATTATCTTGGTCTTGGGGAAAGACCAGGAGTTTTTTCAAATTAACAACCAATTTCCCAAGATTTTGCAGGCTTAGGATGGGTCCACCCCCTACTTAGACTAAGCCACTATGGTCAAGCACCTCCACCTTTGCCGTTTTGACTTCTGTTGCGCATGTGCTTACCTCTCTCTGCTCTCCCCAACAATCTGGTACTGGAGGGAGAGCAGTGCTCCTGGGGAGACTTCCTGTGTCCCTATGTTCCTAGGAATAAGTCTCCTCAACAGCTGTTCCCTGGAAAGTGTGAATGAGTCTGTAAAGGCTACAGCTTCCCGGGAGGCAAGCAGGCTAATGCTCCTTAGTTTCCCTGTACTCTTTTTCTTAGTAATCTCCAGAAACACTTTTTAAATATTTTAATTATTCCTTTCATCACTTCAGGCACTGATTTTTGCCAGTTTGTATGCCATAAAACATTGTAAACGTGTTTTATGGTCCAAAAAGAGGAGACAAAAACTGTAATAGAAATCAGTTATCTACAAAAAGAAGATAAATTATCTGGAAGGCTAAAAAAGAATCTAAGTTGTTACACTTTTTTGATGTTTGAACAATGTGAGTATATTATGTATTCAAAGTTTTTAAGTGTATGTACTTAATTCTACAAGAATCTCATTTCAAACTGGTCAGTGTCAACCACAATGGCAAACTAGAGCGTGGGAAGGTCACCACGACCTTTAACCAGGTTTTATTTCAATTCCTTGTGGAATATCATAAAGTTTCTAATGTTCCATTCTCCCTGTGATGGCCTCCCAGATGGCCCCCAAGGATTCCCTGCCCCCTGGTATTCCTGTGGTCCTCTCCTATATTACATCAAGGTTGGTCTATGTGACCAACAGTACACAACAGTAGTGATGGTATTTCATCTCTGAAGCTAGGCTGCAGCTTCTTCCTTGCTCTTTCTTAGATCATTAACTGCCAGAAGCCACATGACATGTCATGAGCACACAACAAGGAATTTGAGGCCTCCTGCCAGTGACCAATCAAGCTTAGAAGTTGATTGTGTTAGTCCATTCAAGCTGCTCTAACAAAATACCAAAGGTTGGGTAGCTTATAAACAATAGAAAGGTATTGTTTACAGTTCAGGAGGCTGGAAGTCTAAGGTCAGAGTGCCAACATGACCAGGTTAGGGCCCTCTTCCAGGCCATAGACTTCTCATTGTATCCTCACGTCGAAAAGGGGCAAGGGAGCTCTGTGACATCTCTTCTCTGAGAGTAGTAATCCCACTCATAAGGTTCTACCCTCATGACCTAATCACCTCCCAAAGGCCCCACCTACAAATAGCATCACATCTGGGGGTTAGAATTTCAACATGAATTTTGGGGGGATATGAACAGACCATAGCTCTAATCCTCCAGCCTATCAAGCCTTCAGATGATTGTAGCTCCAGCCAATGTCTTAACTGCAACCTCAGGAAAGCAGTAAAGCCAGAAACACTGAGTTAAGCCAAGTCCAAACTCCTGGCTCTTAAAAAATCACAAGATAAATAAAATTTTGTTGTTTTAAACTGGTAAGTTTGGGGTATTATTTTATACAGTAATAGGTAACTAATACAGATTTTCATACCTGGAGGGGAATGCTGCGGTAACACTGTACCTAAAACATGGAAGTGGTTTTGGAACTGGATGCAAACACTGGAAGGACTCTGAAGAGAGTTAGTACAAGCTTTAGTGGGGGGGAAAAACCCAAAAACAAAAAACTGGACTTTGAGACAGCTCCAATGTGGCTTAAAAAAAAGTGAAGAACACGTTGTTAGAAAATTGAGAAAGGAGTTATGTAGTGGCAAAAAGTTTAGTAACAGCACCTGTAGTGATATGGAAAGTAGAAAATGTACCTAATTAACTGAGTCACCTTCGAAGGTGAAACTGAATTACCTTTACCTTGATATGTGGACTGAACTTAGTGTCTCCCTTCTAATGAATAGAGTATCATAGAAATGATGAGTGAAACTGCCAAGACTAACTAGGTCATAAAGGCCTTGCAGACCCCTTGCTCACTCTCTTGGATCACTCGCTCTAGAAGCCAGCTAGCCATGTCTTGAGAACACTCAGGTAGCCCAGTGGAGAGGCTCATCTGGAGAAACTGAGGCTCCCTCCCAACAGCCAGCAAGGAGCTAGAGTTTCCTCTCATTAGCCATGTGAGTGAGCCATCTTGGAAGCAAATCCTTCAGCCCCAGTCAAGACTTCAGGTGACTGCAAGTTCATGAAACCCTGAAGCAGAACAATTCAGCTAAGCTACTCCTGGGTTCCCAGCTCTGAGGCACAGTGAGAGATAATAAATGTTTCTTTTAGCTGTTAGTTCTGTGGTAATTCATTATAAATCAATAGAAAACTAATACACTCCCAACTTTGAGCTCTGTCTTTAACCAGTGGCTCTTCCTGGTTAGTTTGGTTTTATAGCAAGATTCCTGCTGGGTCAGTTTAGGGATTCCTTATCACCCCGGTCTGTCTTCAGCAATAATCCAGTCAAGTTGGTTTGGCCAGAATCTATCTTACCCCTGAAGTTTCCTCTTTGTAATTTCCCATCCACTGACACCCACCCATTTCCTGGCTATAAATCCCCACTTTGCACTTCCTGGAGTCAGAGTTAAGTTCAGCATCTCTCATAAAACCCCGTAGAATAAAGTTTTCCTTACCATCTTTAACAGTGTCAAGAATAATTTTTCTTTAACATTTCCAAGTTTTGTTACTAGGAACTACTCCCAAATGAGTATTTTCATACCTTTACCTTTTATACTATATTCATTTTGAGAGACAGATTTTTAGATTAATACATTTCATATTTTTACCGTAGAACCAAAAGTCCTTTTAAAATAATTCATGCAGTAATTTGAAAAGGATGTGTATATAAGTAGACATGTCAGTGTATAACAAACACACACCCTCAAAGCTCCAAGAAAAACTTCATTCTCAGTAAAACTACAAATTAAGGCTAAAACTTTTAGCCTGCAAATGTTAATGGAATTAACTTACCAAAAAAATATGGAGAATTAGAACTTCAATAAAAATGAAAATATGCATCAAAATATTTGGAATTCAGACAAAGCTGTAAACAAAGTCAGGCAGTTTTAAATTCTTTTTAAATTTTTAAAAAGATTTTATTTATTTTTAGAGAGAAGGGAATGTAGGGAGGAAGAGAGGAAGAAACATCGATGTGTGGATATGTGGTTGCCTCTTGCACGCCCCCAGTTGGGGACCCTGCCTACAACCCAGGAATGTGCCCTGACTGGGAACTGAATCAGCCACCCCCTGGGTTCTCAGGCTAGCCCTCAATCCACTAAGCCACACCAGCCAGGGTTTAAATCCCTTAATACAGGGGCCAGCGGGGGGGGGGGGGGGGGGCTTTTAAAGTAAAAAGCCATAAAAAAAGAACAATCCACTAAAAAGTAGGTGTATAATGAATCAAGACAAAAATACAGAATAAAATCAAAACTACTTGGGATAATAAATCAAGAGTTGATACTTGGTAAAAGTAAACCAGAAACATTGATAAAATGGTGGTAAATCTAATGAGGGGAAAAGAAAATACATTCCAATAAGAGTAATGAAAAAGGGAATAATATGCTGAGTAGAGAGGATAATACTCAACCCCAAGTGGAACTATTTTTGCTTTAATAGAAAAGTTGTGAATCCAGCCAAGCAAAACCCTGGGTCAGTAAAGGAAAAGTAAATGATTATCTCAATAGATGTTGTAAACTATCTAATAAAACTAAATAACAATTCTCTTTCAATATTCTAAACAAAAATTCATTAAACAACGTACTTACTACCTTTAATAGTAAAGCATTTCTCATTAAAACCAACAACAAGAAAGTCTATTTTCATACCATCATTTAGATATCCTGGCTCAATGCAATAAGGTCCAAAGAGTTTACATGGTAGTACTAGAAATAAATAAATAAACTAAAACATGTCATGTTATTGATGAAAAGACAAACCCTAAAAAACATTTTTTTCAAAAGAACATTTTATTACTATAATTGCTATATTACTTACAATTTTTGGCAACAATAATAAAATTTATCTGAAAGAAAAAGCAAGCAAAATAGACAGGAAAATTCACAAGGGGTAATTACAAAATAGTAATCTTGACTGTTATTCAATATATTTGTAAATGAAACAAAGTGACATTGCCTTAAAAAATATAGAGGTATCAATAGAAAAACAGAGAAAGCTCCTGAAGGAACTCAACTCACTATATTTTCTTTTGGTTGCAGGCACAGAAATGGACTCAAGCTAGCTCAATTCTTAGAGAGAAGCAAAGTCCTTAATGATTATCCCTTCCCAGTTTTTGGTGAAAACCTAGGAACTTTAGATCAGAGAGAGAAGAAAGGAGAAGGGAGGCATAAAGTGTCTTTAGGGGGAGAAAAGGGACGAGGGCCGAATTTCATTGTCAGTGCCATTTCAAGAACATTGATAAAACTCAATGAATCAAAGAAAATGTCCAACAATTAGCTGAGGTAGCAAACCATGCAGGTCTAGAGGAAGAACATTCTAAGACAAAGAACAGCGAAGTCTTTGGATTGGAAAGAAATGTGATTTGCTTGAGGAAAAGCAAGGCCAGTGTGTCAAAAATAGTGCATCATTGGGGAAAACGGTAGAGCATGGTAGAGAAGGAAAGAGAGAAGAGGCAGGCAAGAGGCCATACCACTGAAACCTTGGCAATAAATAACAATTTGCACTCCTTAAGGGCATATTTTAGTAAAAAAGCATACAGTAGTTAACAGTTGATAAAACTAAGCAACCACAAACACATAGAACTAAAACATTTCATATTTTTACCATCAAAACAGAATAAGGGAGGTAAGTATGCAAAGTCTGAAGCTAGGTATACAGAGAAGTTTCCACCTGACACTGGAACGCACACATATTCTCTACACCAAAACAAAGGGGTTCAGGCTAAAATTTTAGCAAAGTGCCTCGGTCCAAGCAAACTAATTGAAAAGACCTAGTTAAATGTTCAAAGTGCAAATCAGTCAGTCAAGCACTGAGCAAATTATTACAACAGAATCTACACTAAGGATATTACCTAAATCATGGAGGATATACTCACAGCTACATTGTTTCTGTAGTTCTTCCTCCCTGCTTCTAAGAGGGATGCTAAACCCTCCATGATTTCACCTCCCAGCTCTTTGTGAAAGCTTAAGGAATTTAACTATATTAAGGAGGGAAGAAAGGAGTGGGGAGAGATAACGTGAAGGAGAAAGCAGGGGAAAAAAAGATCTCTCTTGGCTTAGATTTACCACCAGGATCCCAGATCCCTTGAGTGGTGCACAGAAGCTGCTGGTGTGTGGGTCGGGGGTGGAGGAAGGATGGCACCAGAATATGGCGAGGGAGGCCCAACCCTGGGAACCCACAGAAGCAGCCAAGGCTGCTGCTGTTCAGAAATCAATGCTCAGAGGGTACTCCACAGTTCTGCGGAAGAGCCCTTGGAAATGGCAAGGAAAAAAGGCCTCCCACATATGAGAAAAGTGGACAAATTAGACAAAGAACAGCAACTCTACAACCTAATACTTACTGAAATAAAAGGGTAATTTCTTGCACATTGGAATGGGTCAAGTAAGACCCAAACAGTATTAATTTCATAGAGTGAAAAATTGTACACACAGGAGAATAATAACTATTAATTGTAATACATTCATGTCCAACAAGGCAAGATATAAAACTACAAAATTCACATGTTCAATTAGGGTAAGATATACGAACAGAAAAAAAAAAATACATGAAAAAGCCCTACAACCAGCTTAAGTTTAGTGAGTCACTTGGGCTATTTTTATCCACTATACCTGCTGTTCTTGGATAAACCCCACTCCAGCTTAACAGAACTAAATTGAGCTCAGTCCATGAACTGGACAGATAAAATATGACCCTTTTCAGTTAAAATTATGGGTTCAGTGCAGTTCCAACTATAGATGCCAGTGCTTCTTTCCCTTCGGAAACTTTACTTTTTTACTGCAGTGGCTGTGAGGGACGTAGTTCACTCTGACTAAAGGCCAGCAGGAAAGGAGAAGGTAGGGAACATACCGAATTCCCCTGTGGATCACTGTAGGTCCACCGGCATCAGGCACCATTCTATTAACTCTGTTTCTCCAGCTGAAGCCAACGATACACTAGTTGTTTGATGTGTGCAGGGACCCTTCATCAAACATGGGCATTCCACTGAAATGGTTTTGCTTTCTCGGATGTACATGGGCTAGGTAAAGACACTCTGACACAGAATTCCTTATGCCTTAGCTCCAAGATAAGTGAATGCGTGCCTCTCTCAACTGGGCAAAAGAGCCACCGTTCTCCATTCGACTATCCTCCCACTTTCTGGTCCAATTCATGCCACAGCTTCTCCCTCAACTTCTCCACATTCAGGCTTTCGGAGCCACGTTATTTTAGGCCAGCACAACAGAGGCACTTCTGGGAGTTCAGCAGCAAAAAGGACCATGCCATAATAAAGCCATTCCAGTTTGACTAGAGTTAATATTAAAGTCTTCAAAATATGGAAAAGGTAGAAAATAAAATTAAATACTTAAACTCTCTCTATATGGGCAGAGTTTACACACTCACAAGTGACATGAAATAGCAAAATAATAAATAGGTTTCCAACTTTTTTCTTTCACATACATACATACACACACACACAAGCACCTTTTATGTGTTAAGCTACTTACAGTCACATAAAAACCAGATAATACATTTTTAAATAACATCTCAAAATTCACATCAAATAACTTTCATTAATTTAAAAAAACTCATAAATGATCCATTGGTTTCAGTATTTTTTAAGCTATTAAATAGTGTATGATTTGTATTTTTTGTTTATGGAGTTTTTGACTTTGATTAAAATACTTGCTTTAAATTTCCTGAAACTGGGATTCACGAGGTTGTTTTTTGTTTTTGTTTTTGTTTTTTAATTCTACTTTTAGGCCCTGGGGGGTGATGATTCAGAATCAGATGTGCTCACAGTAATGGATGCTACTTCCACTGACCCTGGTTGAAGAGGTCCCAGTGATACCTGAATAACAACTTTAGTTTCAGGAGGCAATCCTTCTAGTTGCTTAGGCTTCTTAAACATTTGATGACACCGGGTCTTGTGCTCCATTTTCTCTTTGAAAGTTAAAAACTGTAGCCGGCATTTGGAACAGGGGTGAAAACTCTTTTCCCAGTGACCTCTGTAATGACACATGTAGGGTGTTGCCGTTTTGAAAATTTTGAGACAAAATGGACAAAGCAAATTCTTAGTGTTTTCATGGCATGTTCTGAAATGTGTTTCCACATCAGCAAAGGCTGACGACCTGTAATTGCAAACCTGGCACACATAGGGCATTTCACCAGGCTTATGATTGTCCTTCATGTGCTGTAAGAGAAACTGATCTGTTTCAAATGACAATTCACAAATTCTACAGACAGCAGAGGGCTCCTGGGCAGTATGCACACTTCCAATGTGACAATGCAGCTGGAAGAGAGTGGGAAACTGTCGGTGGCAGTGCTGGCAGGTGGTGTGGATTTCCCAATTGTCACCCCTCTGCTTCTCAAGTTCCAAATGATGCTTCACATGATTCATAAACTTGACATTTTTTAGAACTTTCAAGCAGCTGAGGCATTTAAAGGTTGTGTGGGTCTTTTTTTCTGGCTGCCCATCTCCTTTATGCTGTCCATAGTAAAAGTCATTAAGTAACATGATCAGATTTCCTTTCGTGGAATCAACAGTCTTGTTTTGACTTGCTAGACTTGAAAAGTCTTTTTTTGTCTGTCTATTTTCCCTAACAGGATTTATAGTCTTTAAAGGGACACTGTCCTTTGGATAAGCTGTTGGTAAAGGTGCTCCATTCTGAATAGGGCTTAATGAGGTATGAACACCATTTGAGGGTGTTGTTTGTTGAGGAGTAATTGTATGAAAGATTCCTGAAGAGGACAAAGCTGAAGAAAGTCCCCCTGTGATTCCATCACTCAGTTTAGGCCTTTTGGGATTTATGCTGTTTATTTCAGAAGTGGGAAGTTGCTTTGATGCACAACCGCCTACAGAAAGTGCTGCTCCTACTGGAGGCTGCAATGAACTTGTGAATGTAATCAAAGGAGTACATAACTCTGAAGAGCTATTAGGCACAACATGTGATGAGTTACTTTTATAATCGGGTTTAGACAAAGGCTCAATAATAATAATAGGACTATCGGTTAATCTTGACTCAGATTCAGAAACTGGCAAGACAGTCACTGCATCTGACATAGGGGTCACATGACTTACAGGCTGCAATTCACGAGCATTATCTTTTCTGAGGTGACCATACTTTTTTCTCCTTGAACATGAACCCGGGGTGACTCTGTTCAAAATGTTTGAAACGACTGGTTTTGAAGCTGAAGTCACCCCAACAAAGATCAGCTCAGCATCTTCATTTACATGTTCCACTCCAACAAAGATCAGCTCAGCATCTTCTTCATCTACTTGTTTTCTTTCTTCTATGCTCTTCTGTGGTTCTGGCTCTTGTTTTTCCTCACATAATATACATGTTGGTTCCATCTTCTAATTTTTTTTTTATTCTTAAAGGGTGCAGGCACAAGTCCCAGTGCTTCCTTTATATAAACTGCCACCTAAGTAAAAACAACACTACACATCAGTAAGTATAGAAAAAAAAAGTATCTCATTTAATTCTCTCCAAAACTCTAAGATAGTTATAAACATCCTTATTTTACAGAGAACACTGTAAACTCAAAGAGGATAAATGATAGCTTAAAACTATGATTACAAGTCTGTAAGACTAGAATCATAGCCTTGTCCTATGCTAATTATGATCTCTTCTATTAAAAAAAAAACTTCTAACAACTAATCACTAGGCAAAATCATAAGTAAAGGACCAGTATTTCTGACAAAAGGTACCACTGCATAGTGTTTAAAAACACAAGTTTTGGAATCAGAGAAGAAACAGCTGGAATTCTAAGTCAGCCACACAGCAGCTGTAGGTTCTTTGGCTAGATTATAACTTTTAAACATGTTTCTGTATCTCAAAGGCAAAAATTCTTATTTCTTAGACTTAAGGTAACAGTTCTTTTTAAAAAGCACCAACTATTCAATGGTAGTTTGTTTTGTAGTAGAATTGAGGAAAATTTATATTAAATGCACATATTTCAATGGATTCACATCTTCTGATTTCATAAATATTAACATAGAAAATTGTCAAATTCAAAGAATAAACTAAGAGCACCTATACGTAGTTAACACACAGTGTACTTCAATGTTAAGTGCTTAGCAAATAAAACTCTCTTGATGATCTCATCCCAACTCAAGGCCTTAATTATAATCCATTTGCTGATGTCTCCTAAATTTCTCCCTCCAGTCCTGACTTCCCCACTTAACTTAAATCCAACAGTGCTTCCTCCCTCCCTCAACCCACCTCAGTGTCTTCTCCACAAGGCAGGCAAAGAGATTCTATTAAATCAGGTTCTATCACTGCTCAGCTCAAAACTCTCTAATGGCTTTCTGGTTTATTCAGTAAAAGACCAAATCTTTACAATGCCTACAAGACCATTCTTCCAACCCTGCGTGTCACCCTGCAGCTAACTCGTACTCCTCACATCCACTTCATTCTAACCACACTGACCTCCTTGTTACTTCTTAAACACACAGAACACTTCACCTTGCTTAGGGCCTTTGTATTTGCTGCCCCACTAATATGAATGCTCATCATCCAGATATCTGCATGACTGGCTCCTCCTAACTGCAGGGCTCTGTGCCAAGTCTTGCAGAGAGTTCTCAAATACTCTAACCGACTTCTAACTCATATTCCTGATACTTCTTCCCTTATTCTACCTTCAATCCCTTATTACCACCTAAGGTATTATAAATTGTTTATTTATCTTGATTCTTTTCTATTGTCTATCCAATAAAATATAAACTCCAAAGGGCTATATCCCCAGCACAGAAGCTCAACAAATAAATTATTTGTTAAATAAATTAATAATGCTATTTAATGTGGAGCAGATTGTGCTCCATTAATTCAATGTTTTCCATGAATTTACTCTGAGAACCTTGTCTACAACAGAATTTCTGTAGGCCAGTAAGGATTTAAAGGTGTTACCTTGTTACATAAATTTTTTTTTGCTACAATCTATAGTAAAAATAAAATTTATATGGCATCCAGCTACACAAACACATATAAATAATAATTGCCTTTACTACATGGGATGCTTATTCTAATATTTTCTATTTCATTTTTCCTAAATTGATCATGACCCACAAATTCAATTATGATTCATCAGCGGGTACACTACCAGTGGTCTGAAAACCACTGGTTTTAGGCTGGCAAATGCAGGCACTTTCAACCACAGTTCAAAACTCACCAACTTCTGAAAACAATTTCAAATTCATTGTAGCCCAACATGGATATCTTCAAACCAGCTTAGTCCAATCTATAAAAATCAAACTGCATCCACTATGTGCCATGCACCTCTCATTAATTTAATTAGCTTATTAGTATATAATTTTTGAACATATAGATATTTAATCCTGCAAATGTGTGTACCAACTTGGGAGTTTAAAAAGATAAGATTATGTAATATAAGAAAACACATACTGTAGATTTGAAAACACTGCTCTTTGGAATCAACAAAAATGGGTTTGATCTGTCTATACACAACTTCAGTTATTTAACACTAGAGCGATGCCACATAGTCCAGTGTTTCTCAATCTAAGTTGACATTTCGGACCAGGTAATTCGTTGTTGTGGGGGACTGTCGGGTGCATTTAGGACATTTGGCAGCATCTGGCAGCATCTCTCGCTTCTACCTGATAATGCCAGTAGCAATCCCCTAGCTGTGGCAATCAGAAATGTTCTGTGGGAGAACTTCATCCTTAATCTAACCTTCTTTGCATGATCACTTCCATATTTCTTGTAACCACCTTCTAGGTAATTCTACATTTATGCTCTAATATCTTCTCTAAAAAGACATAAATCTAAATCAAAATTATTAATATTCTTCCTGATACCATAAAAATCAGAAAACAATATGACAGATAATATGGCCGTCAGAATTATGAGGATGGGCTTCTAAAGCCTAGAAAAGTTTAAGATTCACCTAAAGGTATATATGTAGGGTTTGGGAACAGACCTAGCACTAAAATGTGTGATTCCTGAATTTTGGTTCAGTGTTCTCTTCAACAGAACTCTAATTTAATGCATGTCTATTTCTGATGATAGTGTTATTAACTGCTTAGTCTCTAAGGATCAAAGAGCTTCATTGGATTCACTTTTACTCTCCTTCTGTTAGGTAGCAGCTAGGAATGAGTGGCCAGCAGGGAAATAATGGCAGGGCCCTCACCATTACAATTTAACAAAGAACTTAATACAGAAGTCTAGAAGCAAAGAAAGACTTGTCTCACCCATTAGGCTAGCAGTCCTGAGCCTAGTCTGATAGGATTGCCAGGCATTCCTAACAACACAAGCAAGACTATGATAGCACAGGGAAGGGGAGAGTCCTTGAGACTGGGCTTCTGTAACAGTCTTACTAAGATTGACAGTTGTCCTGAACATCCCAAGGCCTAGAAGGTGGGATGGAAGTCCTCGAAATTCTATGTACTGTTTCCACTCACTGGGAAAGAACCTCCACATATTCCTACGTTTGGGTAGTCACATCACCCTGGGGGAAGCTGACATCACCTTTACCCACCAATCAATATGTCACTCTGTCACCCCCATCTTGCCAACTATGTAAGTCCTCAGAACAAAGGACCTGATGCCTCTGACCACCCAGTCTCTTGCTACCCTTGCTCTTGCCACCCCTGCCCTTGCCACCCAATGCTGTTACCTTTCCTTCCCATGTTAAAATGTGTCACTAATAAACCCTGCTTGTTCACTAGTAGTCTTGTTGATCTGTAATTCTTTACCGCATCAGCAAGAACCAGGTTTCTCCAGTAAACACTTCTATGTTATAAAACTTAATTCTATCACCCCCCACCCAGTTCCCATCAAATTAATCACAGAAAGTTGTGATTCTAAATAACTTTTTAGAGCCTTGGTCATTCTAACTACTTTTCATTTCCATTCCTATTAGAGCACCTCCCCCCAGCTTCTAGGTTTAGGTCCACTAATTACTTCATGTTTGTATACTTGCAATAGGCTCCAAATTGTTCTGTCTTATTTGTCTGTCCTTCAAATTATTTAACACATCACCACTATCTGAATATTAGAGCATCTAAATGTCAAATGATTCCTTCAATTCTTGGCAATATATTTTAGGTTTTGCTATGGACTGAATTATAACCCCCACCCCCGCACGCCCCCCACCAATTCCGTGTGTTGAAGCCCTACCCCTCAGTGTGATGGTACTGGAGATAGGGTCTTCGACAGGTAATTAGGTTTAGATGAGGTCATGAGGGTGGGACCCTCATAATGGGGTTAGTGACCTTAAAGATACTGGAGAGCTTGCTCCTTCTCTATCCCACCCCCTTGTAAGGACACAGGGAGAAGGTAGCTGTCTTAAAACCAGGAAGAGAGCACACTGGCTGGGAACAAAATCAGCTGAAACCTTGATCTTCGACTTCCCAGGCTCCCAAATTATGACAATTTCCTGTGTAAAAAAAATATGAAATAAACAAGTTCTAGTAACATTGCTGCACTTTCACTCAGCTCATCTTGGGTGGATTTCTAGCTATTATCCATAGTGATTCCCCTTCCATCCAACCAAGGGGGAAAGTTAAGGGTACACAAAGAATCAGACAAAGTGAATAAATTAATGAATTCATTTAGAACAAGCATAACATTAGAACATGGGAATTTTCTTACCACTTCTCTAGTGTCCTTATTTTCTACCATTTATCAGAATCTTGAGATACTAGGTTGTGAGGCAGAACTGTAAAGATCAACTAGATCTAAGGGGTCAGTTCTAAGAAATCACTTCATATCCCTCCAGCCAGGAAGTTGCCAAGATCTATAGGAGGAGCCAAAGTAAAGGTTTCATTCCAAAGACAGCTGACAGGTCTGTTGGTGATAATCCATCTCCCAGATTATTCCTGTGCATTTAAACAATGGATTTTGCAGTGGGTCTTTGTTATTGTTATCAACAGCTCTTCTCAGCATCTGTCTTTCTTGAGTAACTTCCTAAAATTAGGCCACTAGGGCTCCTCTGGTACCTATCCTCACTATCTTCCCTTGCCCAAGACTCTTTTCATCCCAGAACTACTCCTCCAAGTTCCTGTTCCAAATCCCTCACTTTCTCCCCACCCATAGCACTTGTGTCCCTTCCCCACCACTATTTCTCTCCCTTCCTCCTCCATTAACCCCCACATATTTGCTGCTTTAGAATTTAATGCCAATTAAACACAGATCCTTGGGGGAAATGGGAAAATCCTCCTTAAAACAAGAGTTAATGTTTGCATTCCACCCTAGGGTAACTAAGTAAAACAAAGATATTTTTTTCACAAATATTTTTGATACTTTTTTCCATAAATAAGATTAGAATGGTACAGGAGTACACAAATATGGTCTAATCTAGCTAGGAGTGTAGGATGAGAACAACTACTAAACTAAGGTCGTTCTCTGTCAAAAGATGTGACTATTTCTAACAAATCAACTGAGAGAAAAGTCAAGGATTTACAG